TATGAGAATGTGTGGAACCTTGTGCTCTTGGCTGTCCTGGTCTGGAGTGGTGTCTTTGAGAGGGCAGGGAATGGGAAGGAAATCCCCAGGGCAAGAAATGTGTCTGTATCTGCCGAGGATTCTTGGGACTATTTCCAGGGACTCCAAGTGGTGACTGGTTCAGAATTTTCACCATGTCTTCTGGGGAGCAAGTCTATGGTGAATGCTGGAAGCTATCCAGTCCCTCCCAGTTCATCTATTATGTCTTCAGTTATCTTTGTAGTGTTACCCTTGAAATATTTAAAGTCACACTTTTTTTTTTCCAGGAAGGACTCCAAGTATTAGCTGAGTGTGCTTCGTCCTAATTGCTTGGCACCATAAGTGGTTTATTTTAAAAAGTATTTTCATACACATAATGCAATCCAAGTCTAAATCCAAAATTCACTTGACTTTCATATAAATCTTACACTCAGAGCCTGATTTTTAATCAACAGGTTTTTTTTTATTTTTATTTTGTGCATTTCGATAGTCACGAACCATATGAGGTCAGGGGTAGACTGTTCTGATTGCAGCATCATGTGGAGACTTTTTGAGCATTTCGGAGTCTGATGAGGGCGCATGCAGGGCTAGAACACCTTCAGCGGTCTTGCACTCAGTCACTCCCCGGGGCCACTGCTTCCCACTTTGGTCCTCTTTGCCTTCCTTGTAAAGCACTATGGAAATTCGGTACTTTGCTTCCTGGTACGATTTTCTTTATCTTCTATGTTCTTTTTTAATTCAGTGGATTTTCACATTTCACCTTGTTTTCAACTCTCCCAACTAAGAAAGTGAGGCATCCCTATTTGAAAGATATGAATTCTGTATGGACGAGCCCCTGGATATTCCACCAGAAAACAGAGCTGATAAACACTTTTGGCAGTGACAGGAAATGACATCAACACATAAAATCAGTAGTTTTCTTATGTGCCAATGAAAAACATACTAAGAAAGAAATCCAGTTCTCAATAAATGAAAAAAAATTAAGAAATCTTGGACTAAATGTTGGTATCCTGGCATTATGCTGACCCCGCCCCCAACAGCTGGCAGGATACGAATATCATCAGCATTCAGGCAGATACTTAAGACAGCTCTCAGGGCCCTGCATTGCATGGCTATTTCAGGCATTACACGGCTAGGTAAGGACTCTGTAAGCATGTGCAAGCTTTCCCTTTTAAGCAAGCGCCTCGCACCTGTTCTCTCTTCCCATTTATGCTGTGGTGGCCAACAACAACCCCTTCCTTTGCTCTCTTTCCCAATAAACTCCACGTGGGTTTTGTTGAGTTTTGTGGTTCATGTTTTATTGCCCGGAGCAGCAGCAAACAACAATACTAAAAGAAAGTGTAAAAAACAGATCTCTAAATGTAAAGTATAAAACACAGAAGAGAAACTGAAGAAAACACTAGCAGATTGAGAAGTCTCCCCATGTTCATGGATCATAGCTTTCTAGCCAAAAGCAATCTACAGATTAAGTGCCCTCTCCATCTAAATTCCAGCACTTTTTTTCATAGGAATAAGGGGAATGTGTCTTTAAATTCATATGGAAGCATTAAACAACCCAGATACCCAAAGCAATCCTGAGCAAAAAGAATGATACAGGAGGGACCCTCTGACTTTAAGTTATACTACCAAGCCATAGTAATAAAAGCAGCATGGCACTGACACAAAGGCAGACATGTATGTCAGTGGGACAGACTACAGGACCAGAGATAATCCCATACAGCTACAGCCACTTAATTTTTGACAAATATGCCAAAATACAAACTGGAGAAAGAACAGCCTCTTCAGCATATGCTGCGGGGCAAACTGCACCTCTACAAGTAGAAGAACGAGCCAAGATCTTTATCTTCCACCTGCACAGACATCAACTCCAAATGGAAAGACCCCAACTTAAGAGCCAGAACTCTGAAACTGTGAAAAGGAGAAGTAGAGAAAACACTTAAGATACAGGCATGGGTAAAGACTTTCTCAATAGGGCTATAGCCCCTCACAAAATAAGAGCAAAGATCAACAAACAGGAAGGTAATAGTGAATGAAAAAGTTCTGTACCACAAACAACACAGCTGAGTGAGTGAAGAAACCCCCATGAACTCTTCATGTTATGGGAAGAATGTACAAAACACACAAAGGGCTTAGTATCAAAACAAGGAAACATAACTCAATTTTTTTAAATGAGATAAGAAGTTGAACACAAAGTTCTTAAAAACAGCAATACAAATGGCTAACAAATGTTTGAAAATGTGCTCAATATCATTACCCATCAAGTCAATGAAAACTAAAACTTTCACTCCAGCTAGAAGGGCTGTTATCAAGAAGACATGATGCTAGTGAAAACGTAGAGAAAGGGAGAGTCTCAGTCATCGTTTGTAGGAATTTAATCTGGGGTAGCCACTACATAAATCAGTGTGGAGGTTTCTAAAAAACCTAAAAACAGGGCTTCCAAAGACCTAGCACTTATCTACAGGACTCCCTATCCCAGAGAGCCTTGCACATGCATGGTCACTGCTGCTTTCTTTCACAAGGGCAACGAGAGGGAACCAGCACAGATACCACCAACTGATGAATGGGTGGAGAAACTGTGGTCATATACACAATAGAATTCTATTCAGCCATAAAGAAAAATAAAATATGAAATAGCATGGAAATGGATGGAGCTTTATCAAGTGAAGTAACTCAGGGTCAAAGGCACAAACACCACATGTTCTCTTATGCAAACTTGGCTTTTATTTTATGTATATGGCATTTATGAAGATGTAAGCATGTGTGGAATCCAGGAAACTAAAGAGTCTTTAAAGAAAGATAGCTGAGTTGCAGAACACATGTGACATGAAAGCTGGGGTAGAAACAGCAGGAGGTAGACAGATTTAAGTGGGTGGGAGGCAGGAAGAGCGGGGAAGAGGAGGTGGGAAGGAAGAGTCAACCATCACTAATGATGTATGGGAAAAAAGAAAAAGAAATTTTGGTACTCAATAAGCTAATCAAAACATTTTCCTTTAAGTGTTTGAAATGAAAATAGCCTATGTGGGTAGATAATTCAGCTCCCAGAAGCCACACGTTATTAAACAAAAATCCCAGTACAAAGCATTATCTCCCCATGAGATTTTTTCAGTCAGTCAGTGAGGCCCCTAAGGCCCCCAGACAACATAGGCAAATGTCACCCAATTGGGTCTTCTCCAGAACCAGATGGCAAGACCCTACTTCTAAAGATGCCACATACAATGCTCACAGGACACAGAGTAATCAATCTGGAAATAGGCTAATGCAACCTCCCTGCTAGCTAGCCTTCATAATGCTGCAGAGTGCCATAGACTACTAGGGGAGAATTGTCATCAACAGTCTTACACAACTCGTGCGCCATTCGCATGTGCTCACACAACATCATCTACTGGTCAGATATGATGTGCTAATTAGGACAATAACAAAAACTCTTCCATAGAGATTAGATCTGATGCCTAATTCACAAGAAGGAATTCACATCCGATACTATAAACTAGTCAAAAGCCCATGGCTGGGAGGTCAGAGGCTCTAGTGAGAAAGCTACTGTTGTTGTTTTACTAAACGGATATCATGTTCCTTCAAACTCTCTTCTAATAACTAGATTCATGCAGCTCTCGGCTCTACTCAAGGAGCTATGATGACTGCAGGAACTCATGATTGGTAATGACTCTTGAATTTCTAGTCATAAATGGGACACCTGTATTATCCCTCCAAGGCTCTGGAAACACCATGGAAGGTGCAGAAAAACACAGGAGCAACAAGAAGGGACTGAACAGACTGCCTTCTGAACAGGGTGACTACTGTCCTGACAGGTACTATGATTACCTGCATAAGACCGAGCCCTTGATGGAAAGGGGAAGCCTCATGGATTTATACGCACTCATAATTGTACAACTGGAACAGACATTTTCCAATAGTACAAGCACTGGAAAGTTATCTACACTCTTGTGCACAAACTCTCACCTATGTTCCTATAAACAAGTTTTATATTTAGTCACATCAAGATAGAAAAAGACATGAGAGTACGAGGTGGTCAACTCAGAAAATGGAAAGGATGAGAATGGAGGTGAAAAAATAAGAAAATGGGGTGAACATGATCAAAAAAACATGTGCATGTATAAAAATGTCATAAAGATACACTAATATTTTTAAAAAGAGAAAGAGGTAGAATGTATGTGGTTTTGCCTTCATTAAAGAAGTCCAGCATGGTGGGCACTGTGACCCTAGGGCCTGCGATGCTGCGGCAAGAGGACTTGAGTTTGAGGCCAGCCTGAGGCTGTCTCAAAAACCAAACCAAGAAAAATCAAACAAAAAGATCAGACTGAAGCAAATAACTAAGAAACATAGTGCACGGTTATAAGGAGTGTGAAGAACGAAGAGGACCATGAGATCAAGCCTGCCATTGAGGGAAAACCTCCATGGGACTTGTCTCCCCCTGTCCCCGCCCCGGCCTTGGTTTTTCCAGACAGGGTTTCTCTGTGTAGCTTTAGAGTCTGTCCTGAAACTCACTCTGTAGACCAGGCTGACCTCGAACTCACAGAGATCCGCCTGCCTCTGCCTCCTGAGTGCTGGTATTAAAGGTGTGCGTCACCACCTCCCAGCCCTGGGACTTACCTTGAAGCAGGCAAGCTGAGGAGACTGGCTAATTTTGGACTCCTGGTTGCCTGAGAATGCGTTTGTGTCATTTTAATTTGTGAAAAAAGTTACCAATTTATTAGATTCATATCCTTCAATGTGGTAGTCCTAAGAAATAATGATCCATTTCCTTGATAACAGTTTATTTTCCCTTCTAGAGTTAAGATATTTTTAAAACAGAGATTAAGATAAAAATCACCATAGCAAAGCCATTAAGATAAAAGGAAACTAGAAATATTTTTAGCTTCATGAGAAAAGCTGAGCATAACATACAGTTCAGCTTACCTCATTTTAGCCTTAGAGGAGGCTAAATGAATGCGTTAAGCTCATAAAATAACATATGAACAGCATACCAAACCCAGGAACACTTTTGAGACTGGATTTCAGGCAAATTTTCTCCAATCTGAGGTAGCTGTATCTCATCAGACAGTTCCACAGGAACATCCAGTCTACCCTGGTCCGATGGTTCATGATGATGACACTCCTTTCTCCGGGTACAAATGCATCACCTGTTATAACCACTTTTACACCAAACATGGTCTCCAACAATGCCTGTCAAAAAATTAGAAAATGCAGGTATAAATCAATTTAGGACTTTCAGGTTAAGAAGCCAGATATGAGATTATTCTTAACCACATTTATGAACTTAGTGGAAATAAATAAAATAATTATTTAAGAGTTATGGACCTTTTTCCTTCTTGCTAACCTTGCTATGACTGTGGTATATTGCTTTTATAATATAAAAAACTTACACTTAAAAACTAAATAAGTTTTTGGAAAAGTAGAACCTGAGTCCAAACTAAATAATTAATGATTTAATTATTTTTTAAAAGTTATTGCAGTTTTCCACAGATAAATTTTATCATGTTATATCCTTTGATTTCTAACAAATAAGACATAGTTTCCCATGTTTTTGCTTCTGTAGTAAATGGTGGATGTGTGATCAAGTATAAGACAATGAAGTACTATACACACTTCTTCCACTAATTTTAATTTCATAATAGAAAAATATGAACTACATTTTCAAATCTTCAATTAAATATTATTAAGTTAGAAGAAATACACAAAACAAGATTCTACTGGGTACTTTCAAGGATATACAAATAAGATTATCACAAAGGTTTTCTAGAAAGAAAAATGAATATAACTGAATGCAGTACTAAAGAAACTAAACTTCATTTTTCTGTAAGATGATCTTTTGTCACTCAGAAAAATACATAAAGACTAAAATAACTATGTCTAATAAAATCTTTCAGCCTACCACCTGTAGCCAATGTCCTGCACATATGAATGCTCAAATGCTTGCTGAGTTCGTTAAGCCACATTTCTGAGGCCCGATGATACCGTTAAGACTAAATATTCTGAAGGAAAGTGTGTATTCCAACCTAGAGTTCTTAAGAAGGAGCTAGTGTCTCCCCATTCCTTTTCATTTCCCTTCTTTATATTGTCCAGAATCTGCATTCAATCTCTCTCTACACAGTCTCCCAAAAACCAAGACTACAGAGTGTATTGCCATTCCCAACCTCAGTCTCAATTTCAAGATATTACATGTAACATCCTATTTTATTTCATAACTAATTGATAGGGTGGCAAAAGATAAGAAAACCAAACCTTCCAAACATCTTTAAATCACTCAACATTGACAGCAAAGGAGCTATGAGCACCTATGATAGCATGAGGCGCAGACGTAACTGTGGAAGGGAAGCAAGACAGACCGTGTACGTAAATATCCACATGTAAGGCTTTCTACAAGGGCAGGGCATTTTAGAGGTAAATAAATACTATTTTAAAGGTTGTATTCATAGCTACTTCTTCCAAAAAAGAAGACATTCGAGTTGTACGCCTGAGTAACAGCTTCCACTAGAGCTGGCAATGCTGGTCTTGACCTACTTGACAATCACGGTTTCTCCAAGGACCATGGAGACAGGAAGATTTCTGGGGCTTGCTGGCTTGTGATGTGAGAAAACATGAGTCCCAGGTTCAGGGATAAAAGCCCACCTCAAGGGAATAAGTGAGCAGCATGGAGCAAATTACAGGACATGCTCTTCCGGGCCCTTGTGCACGCATGCCCCCCACACACTAACACATACGTCAATACACACATATTATCCACTAATACGTGCGCTGCTTACTAACTTTTCAGTGGTTTCTTTCTATTTAAAAATTAAAAGCTTTGTGGGCTGGGCGTAGTAACACATGCCTTTAATACCAGTACCTGTGAGGCAGAGGTAAGTAGATCTTTGTTTTTGTGATTTAACAGAATAATAGTATATTCCATAAAAAAAGGAAAGAAGTTTTTCATTCAGATGAAAAGTAGAGAAGACAAGGTATGTAAACTTATAATTGAAGATCCTTTAGGTTAATGGGTTGTCACCTCCACAAGGTGGCTATCCTGACCTGTCCTATTCATCACTATATCCAAGAATCTGTGTTCTGAGAACTTTAGTGAAGCTCAATTTAAAGATACTGGACTAATTTTTTTTTACAGAAAAAATTGTAAGAAAAGAAAGCATTTACTCTGTGGCATGGCTACTTCTTATTTACCCAGGTTGATAATTAAAAAGAGAAAGAGCCAGGCAGTGATGGCGCTCACCTTTAATCCCAGCACTGAGGAGGAACAGAGGAAGGAGGATCTCTGTGAGTTTTGAGGCCAGCCTGGTCTACAGAGAGAGAGTTCCAGGAAAACCAGGGCTATAAAAACAAAACAAAAAAAGAAGAGGGAGGGAGGGAGGGAGGGAGGGAGGGAGGGAGGGAGGGAGGGAGGGAGGGAGGGAGGGAGGGAGGGAGGGACAGATTTAAATGTGCAATTTGTTGAGGAGGAAAAGAGCTCAAGCAAGTTATAAACTTTACAGCCAAGAAGAACCGCCTGGTGCCTGGCTCTGCACTGAGACTACAAGGAATGTCCCTGAAGAGAAGAAATTTACCCACTCGGATTCCAACTTGTGAAAATGAAAGCTTCCTTGAGAAGAGATCGTGAACTGGAATGTAGCTAAAGGTGTTCCCCAGGCCTTGAAAGCAACTGTCTGGGAAAGTATTCACCAGGGTCAGGACATGGAAGCTGATGGCTGTGCCTCAAGGGAACCAGGTTATAGCTCAAACTGGTAGAAGAACATGGCAGCATTGTCCACATGACTAGTTTTGCAGGTATGAAAGATGCAAGGCTGAGGAGGTCATGGAGTCCCCCCTTCAGAGACTACCCTACCCCAAGCACATTTCAGTAACTACTGAGTCAACCTCCATATGAAGGGTCCACAGCTACTGCAAACTTTGATCCTCCGGGAAGGCACTCCGCCTGCTGCCTAACAGGAAAAACAGGTAGAAAGGATCCTTTACCAATTAGGGAAGGCTATTTCCCCTCTTGTTTCCTTTTTCAGGTACTAAACTCATCATCTTTACCAAAACAGACTGATACACTCAGCAACCTGAGGAGAAAGGAGGAATAGCTGTCGCTAAGGAGGATGAGGGAGCGGAACAGTCCTCAAGAGAACATCCAAGAGGAAGATGAGTGCACGGTGCTCACTGACGCACTGCAACCCCTTCCCTGTCCCAGAGAAGGAACCTGGACTGGAAGCTGACAGTCATCAGCTCAAGATAAGAGGGAGGTGCGCATGGAGCAACTATAGAGTGCCAGTCTCCAAGACTTTACTGACCATTGTGTACACTCTTTGATCTTACCTATGCTATTAACCTCACCTTCAGAGAAAAATCGCATTTTCCTGATTTTTAATGTTCCTTATTTTTGTAATTACTGGAAAGAAGTGAATCAATCACATCTCTGTCAGAAGTTTAAAAGATGTTTTTTATTCATGAGGGTGTTACATTTTTACTTGAATTTTTTCATACAATAGAATTTGATATTCTTTCCCCTTCCCCACAGAATCTTAATATGTGTCACTGCTTTGTAAAGCATAAAATGGAAATGCGGAATAAAATTTAATGATGTAAAAATTCTGCAATCTTTAAGATTTACATGTTTTTCTAGATGTTATATCTCCTATTATATAAAATATAAAAGAAAATTCATGAAGAATATAGAAGGAAGCTCTTAGTTTTCTGTAAGGTTCTTTATATGGGTTTGCTTTAAGGACATGAATGTTTGTATTTCTATTTTTTTCCATTTTCCCACTTCTTTTTAAGTCTGACAAGCCTACTAAAGACCACTGAGGACTTCTGTTTCCCTGAAAACCAAACCTCTGATGCTAAAAAAGTACAAGAGATGGGCCACCCACCACAAGCAAACAGACCCTTTCCTGACGTGTAACTTACCACAGGAAGTGTGAGCCACGTAGCTACAAGGCGGCTGCTGATCCAGCGATACCATGACAGGTTTATAAACATCAAAGGAATAATGGGACCCAGCATAAAAATGCTTCCAAAAAAGCTTCCCGCAAACAGGAAGACTATAAAATAAAGCCCCTTCCATGACACCATGACTCTGAAAGATAAAACCAAAGAATATATTTTATTACTGTGCATTTAGTTGCTCTAGTTCCATCAAAATTATACATACAATAATCTTTAATGATGAAGCTACTGAAAACTGATGCAAGCTACAGGAGACTGAATTCCCTGCTCTACAGGCCTACGAGCTGCCAGTACACTAGAAACTGATACTCTATAAAGAGTACTTAAAGGTCTGTTCTCCAGAAAAATGTTGTGTGGTGTGTAAGAATTCTTTTTTCTTTTTAATCAATTGGTATTTAACGTAAAAGGGTGTCTTTCTCTTTCCTAGGTTACTATTCCAGAGGTTGTTTTCTACCTAGAAGCTGCAATAATGCATGAAGAAGTCTTCCTAAGGTGAGGGCACACCTACAAGCAACAGCATTCTCACAGAGTACACTGAAATTGGAAGAAAGGAATCCGGAAGTGTCCATTCTTCACATGAGACCTGAGTCAAATCTCTGGGCACCCAGTCTCAGATGGGTTCTCTATGCGCTTGCTGGGTAGTCAGCTGCCAAAGTATTACCTTAAGGGTACTTAAAACCCAACCTAAAAAAAAAAGAAAGAAAGAAAGAAAGAAAGAAAGAAAGAAAGAAAGAAAGAAAAAGACACCAAACCTAACATGGGTATTTTAAAACAAATGTTTGGAAATGGTTAAAAATGAAAATTCCAACATTTGGTCCTATAACCTAAACAGAACAAATTGACACAGAACGAAGGTTAACTTGGTACCAAGTACATGTTTTAAATTTCTACCAATATTTGATGGTATATACACAAAATCCTACAGAGTAAAAAGAGAACAAATATTTACCGAGAACTTCTGGATGGGAACAGTTAGGGGGAGGAAGGAAGAAATCATGGGGGGAGACGATAGGAAGCAGTGGGACAAACTCACAGAGCCAGACACTTGTGCTCCCACAAACCTCCCCATCACTGCATCTTCTCACTGAAAGTAACAGCAGCAGCTTCTCCCCAATCTTCAACACAGGCAGACCTGCTTCATATACACACACCCACCACCATCACCTCCAATGCTCCTCTCTATCTGAAAACCTCTACCTACCTTTTCCTGTCTGTCACTTCAGACAGACAGACAGTCACCAGCTAACTCTAGACACTTGCTCCTAACCTTCCTGGCAGTTACATTTTACACTGCTATGGCCTCAGGCAGTATCCTCATCAAAAACTCCTGCATGCTTCTTCCTTACCAATTTCTGATTTGAAGTGATTATAAGGAAAAAGATATAATGAAATGGCCTGGCTATCACCAGATGAAATCTTTCCGTTGTACAGCAAGGAATCTGAGTCCCATGGAGACTAAAAGGGCTTTCCTAATTAAACACGGAGCACACGCCTGCCATTGCCTCCCCCTACATCAGGCCACCTCCCTCCTGCCATGCAGCTGAGACTCAGACCAGCATCAGCCTTTAGCTGTACTTTAACAATGACAAACTTACATGAAGGGATCTATCACATGACTGCAATGGTTTCCTACAGATCCAACCTAATCTAAAATGACTTGAACATTCACTCATTTTTATGAAACAATAAGCATATAAAGAAATCCCTACTGTGTGCCAGACACAGTTCTCTGTAACATGAATAAGTATATGACCCCGAGACATATTGGGGTTCAAACTTCAAGCTGATGATCAGAGCAAAGCAGCTGGCCACTAACTCTCACCTCTACTTCAGGTTGAAAGGGCTGCTCCACACACGAGCTGTTCACCAAGTCTCAAACTGCTGCCTCTCCTTGGTGTGCATAGAGAATTAATCCTCCCTATTCCAGTGAGGCTGGAGAATGAATGCCTCTCTGAGACCTTGCTTCTGTCTTATATACTTCCCTAATGTTGGGAATAAAGGTGTGAGCTATAACTCTCTTAAACTGATCCACTCTTGTGTAGATCTGGGTGGCCTTGGATTCAGAAATCCATCTATCTCTTAATCCTGAGTCCTAGGATAGATATGTACCACCACCTCCTAGCTTCTGGCTGCTGGAATTAAAGGTGTGTGTCTGGTTTCTAAGGCTCATGGCTGACTTTGCTTTTCCTTAGTCAAGCTTTCATAAATCATAAATAATATATCACTCCAGGTCTCATACATCAAGGAATGGAACTCAGGGCCTCTTGCATGCAAAGCACAAGCCCTACCCTCCTCGATCTGGTGATCTCATTTCTCCCTGTGTGTCCTTCTCTGAATACATTTCATAGCCCTTTCTGTACTCTAACTGGGGGTCAATTATGTTAAGAATAGCTACATACTTATTTGAAATAGGCAAACGTTGAATAAAAGACAATGTCAAGGGCTGACACAGATGTGCAATGATCTGAACTTACACACATTGCTGGTAGAAACACAAAGATTGTACAGAGCTCTGGGAAACAGCCTGGCAGTTTTACAAAATGCTACATTTATACTCACCATATCAAATCCACTGACTGTCCAGTACAAATAAAATACTATATTCCCACAAAAGGTTCTACATAATCCTTTATAGCACCATTCCTCACAACTGCACAGAACTAGAACTAACTTGCCAGTCGAGGCTGAGCAGATACTGAATTAGTACTCAATGAAGATATATGCCTAATACTCTAAAATGCACTGTGCTAAATTAAAGATGCCGCCGGGCATTGGTGGCGCACACCTTTAATCCCAGCACCGGGAGGCAGAGGCAGGCGGATCTCTGTGAGTTCGAGGCCAGCCTGGTCTACAGAGTGAGTTCCAGGACAGCCTCCAAAGCCACAGAGAAACCTTGTCTCACAAAACCAAAAAAAAAAAAAAAAAATTAAAGATGCCAGGCACAAAAGACATTCTGGGCAAGGCTAACCCACGGAGGGAAAACAAATAGTGGTTGGCAAAGGCAAAGAAGAGATGGTCTGAATCCCGGGGCTTGGGAGATGACCAAACTGCTGTTTCTTGACTGCACAGTGCACAATGGTGGGAACACATCCAGGGGTTTCCTTCCTTCCTTCCTTTCCTGCTGTGGAGCTCGCACTGAAGCCAGGCTTCGTGATACCTAGTACAGCTCTGCCACTGAGCAGCATGCTCAGCAGCCCTGGGCATTTTAAATTGTGATCCTGCCTATAATCTAGCACGTGGAAGGCAAGGATCATGAGTTTAAAGCTGCAGAGTGAATTTGAAGCCAGTCTGAGCTATATAGTGATACTCTATTTTCACAATAAAATTTTTTTAAATGACTGAGATAAAATCTATGCTCTTGTGAAATTCTATATTTCAAATTACTTCAATAATCTAAAATATTTTTCTAAGCTTTTAGAATATACCAGATACTGTTTCATGTATTTGATTTGAATAAACTTTAACAGTTACAATAATCTCATGGCCTGGGTATTTGTATTACCCCTATTCTAGACATCAGGATTCTGTGGCTCAAAAATGTTAAAGTAATTTGCTCAAGTAAATAGCAAAGCTGAGAATTGGCTTTAGGGATTCTGGTGTTGGTGTCTATACTCAGTCTGCTATAGTATAAATCTTTTTCAAGACCGCTTTATTTTTGTAATTAAACACACATACTTAGAATCACACTATAAAGACATAATTGTAAACCAAGTTTTATTACTTTATAAAAAGTATTCTGAATTTTAAAAGTTCACAGGAGCTTAATGTGAAAGGCTCATTAAGTCTTTCTTAGCTTAATATCCTTTAGTTCACACGAGAGATTCACTGTGATACAGTTATAATAGAGGTATCGTGAAACATTCAGTCAGTTGGGTAAAGGAATAGTATTCAAGAAGGCATCTTCCTGGAGGAAGTAGTGGAGGGAGGAGAGATAAAATTCAGAGAAAAACAACATACAGGTTCGTGCAAATTTGAAACAGCAAGGTGGAGAGATTTAGAAATTGCTGAAGTTTAAAAGAACAACAAGGTTCTTGGTATGCAAGAAATCCTAAGAGCATTGGTCCTAGGGAAAAAGCTACACCCAACTCAAGATGGGGAAAAAACAATATTTCATCCTGGCACAAGGAGTGGGGGAAAAAATCTAAGGCTTATGACTATATTTTAAGACAGGTGTAGGTGACACAAACATGGACAGCCTGGCTTTGTTAAGAGCCTTCTCTGAACGTTACAATAGATAATTCATAAGACTTATGGCCAAAATCGCAGGACTGAGAAACACTGCTATCAAAGACACAAACCACACGGTTTGCAAACAACTGACCATGAGCACGTCTGTCACATGAGGAGGCTTAGGCAGATCTTCTCTAAGACCTCAGCTAATTTGAATATAGGCTTCCTTTTATCATCAGACACTTTATACAGGTTCAAGGTCTTTACCGCTTTAATATCTAAAGATTTGCCTTGTTTGCTGGAGCAGATGTATAATCCCAGCTACCACTCACAGAATCAGGGTGATTTCAGGTTCAAGACCTGCCTGGCTACAGTGAATGCACCATCCCCTGAGTAACTTGGATGGACCATGCTCAGTGTAGGAACACTTACAAGGTACTGGGGATCTAGTCCCAAGCACTGCAAAAACAAAGTCCACAGACTTCGTATTTTATATACAACCTAAACATCTATAACATGGAAGAAATCTATAATCTTACTCAAACTAAAAGTTTATTTTAAATACTACAAGTGTATAAAAGCAAATCATGATGTGAAAATATAATAAAACCAAGTACTCTGTATACTAACTTTAAAAAATGAAAACAAAAGTCATTTTAGTAACAATGACTCCAGCCAACTGGCTAGCATCCTCTCAAAGGACTTTTATTCTAGTTACTTCCATTCTCTTCTGAGTATGTATTATGCTATAGTGGATTTGTAAATTTAAGGATCTAAATAAAAGGACTTTGCTATATCTCTTGACAGTGCAGAGAGAGAGACAGACAGACAGACAGACAGAGACAGAGACAGAGAGTGTGTGTAAGCTGAAACAAATATTTCTAGGTGAATTTTTAGAAATCTGATGGGGAGACATATGACATAATAAACCCAAGATTACTGCACAAAGCAGCCAACTAG